AAATCGAACTCAATAAACATGATAGTCTCGGTCTACAACCGTCGGGAGTTACCTCTTATTAAGCGCAAGAGACTAAAATTCTCGAACTCCCGTGCTTGGCCGAGACCCTCCGCGTTCGTGCGGTACTCTTGTCAATCACTCAAAATTTCTCACCAAAATGACTTGAATTTGGGTGTATAAAGAAGATGGAAAATTTCTCTCCAAACACTTTCTTATGCCCCAAAACCGAATGAAATAAGAGGGAATGGAGAGGTTAAATGGTCAAGGGCTTACGACACTTGTCTCACATGCTAGAAGATGCTAGGACACCACACACTACAAGCCAAAGTGGCATGCAAGACTTCTTGCCTCAAAACTCACGTGAATACCAACAAAAGGGGAAGAAAATGCTTGACAAAAACCCACTTACATGCACGGCATATATGACCAAAAAGGGGGAGGAATCTCTTGAACAAACTCTAGCATGAAGACAAAGGAGGTGCACGGTTTTACACATGAATCTTGGACAAATTTCTCTAGTATCTATGCCACTACTCACGGCCATTTAAAGAGGACAAAAATTGAAAGAATCTTGGACAAATACACCAACAAGCTACATAACAAACAAAAAAAAACGCACGGCCTTCATGACTTGGAAGCAAGACAATTTGCTTGAAGATAGCATAATTACTCACGGCTTAACTTAGGTACTTAAGATCAATTACCAATTAATCACCATAATTTGCTTAATTAACCAATTAAGCATAATACTCAATTACCAAAATTATTTCGAACGTAAACGGTACGTCGAAAACAATTTCCGGTAATCTTGACTGAAATAACTGAAAATGATTAATTCCGAAAACAATATCGGAACTAAAATATAAGTTATACTGATAAATTGTCGGGATATTACACTGTAGTCAGCATTTTGATTTATATTACTGTCTCTTAACACTCTCTCATACTATGCATTCGCTGCAACGATCCTTTGTTGCAGCCTGTAGTTCTGCAAGTTCGGAAAAAAAAAAGCAAAAAAAAAAAAAGGTTAAGTCTAATATCATGTTAACAGATCTGCTAAGACTTAAAAAATTTTGGAATAATATTAACTCCATAGAGCTTGAATATGCTTATATGTGTATAAATTTATATCTATGTCTATATATAAGGTTTGACATTTACATGAAGTAGCAACTGAATTCTCGCCTAAATTTTTTTTTTTCCTCTTATTAGTAACTTTTTCTGATTTTTTTTTTTATAACTAGTGCGTGGCCCGTGCGATGCACGAGAAAATAATATTACGATTGTGTTATAAATTAAATATATAAATAACATAAATCAAGATCCATCATTTTTTAAATTACACCGTGTTTGGTCACAGTCCGATTGGCTGAACCGAGAACTGGTTTATAACCAGTCTAGTTCGCTTGAATAAAGTATTTGCTATCGAATCCGTCAACATCAGTCGGTTGAACTGGTAGGATCGATACGATTTTCTAAATAAACTTTGCTACATTTGAAATCATTTTAAATAAAATTACATATTTAAATAAAATAGAGATTTATAAATTGTTTATCAATTAGTTTTTTTTTTTTTTTTTT